TCCTATCCTAACCCTAACCCGTACCTCTACCCCCCACAGCTCCTATCCTAACCCTAACCCGTACCTCTACCCCCCACAGCTCCTATCCTAACCCTAACCCGTACCTCTACCCCCCACAGCTCCTTCTGTAGTCCCTCTACCTCTATCTCTATCTCACCACTGACTCTGATCAGGGTTTCTCCTCTGGATAGCTTATTGTCATAGTGATGAGAAATGGAATATTGTGTCTACTCTGTAAGTCGCTTTGGATAAAAGCGTCTGACAAATGCATAAACATAAACAAACACATCCAGACAGCAGAAAGGTGGGGGGGTCATTCCCAGACTCTGGATGGCCTGTAGACCCAGGGGTCAGTCGGCCCCGGGGCTCACCGGTGGACGTAAGTCCTGATGTACTGGGGAGCGTCGTAATTGACCACACATTTGACCCCGCTGACGTCCAGGCCTCTGGCAGCCGCGTCTGTGCTGATCAACCTGGAGGAGGACAAACACTCTGTTTCAACCTGCTTCCAGGGCCAAAACAACCAGGCCAAACAAGACCGCCAACACCTGGATGTGTTGGCGTGTGTGGAGTGGTGGTGTAGTGGTTAGCATAGCTGCCTTCCAAGCAGTTGACCTGGATTCGATTCCCGGCCAATACAGCTCCTCTCTACCCTGTAAGTCGCTTTGGATAAAAGCGTCTGCCAAATGCATGAATATGAACATGAATATATGGATGTGGGACGGGGGCCGACTCCAGACTACTGACAGCCCCTCCCTGTTTTCTCCTCAGTGCTGTTTAGGGGGCCACATAGGTCCGGATCATTTCTATTCACTTAAATCAAATCCTCAAAACAGCATTTAGTGTTTACTCAGGCCGTTGTTTGAGGATACCGATGATGTAATGGGGACAAATGTGCACTGTTGGAAACCAGGAATTAAATGCCTTTAACAGCACTCTGTTGAGTTCTCACTATTCCCCCACAGGGAGAAAAACTAAGGAGCTGGACCAGGGCTGAGTCCACATCCGGACTCTGGTCAGGGAGCCAATGCAGTCGGGGTTTTTCTGCTGTGATCCAGGCTCTAAGAACCAGTTCCAACCTCTGGGCAATGACACAAACTTGGAAAGAGTCCACTAGTTTAAAAAAAAAAAAAAAATCACCTCTACACTTCATTGCTGTTGGCTCCAACTTTTTCTTTACAATGTCAGCTGCTTTAAACTGTGCCGGAAAGATAATTATGACTCAAATCTGAAGATGCCATTGGCTAACTAACCCACAGGCAGAGATGGAATTCTGGTCCTTCTACACAGCATAAAGGCAGACTCACAACGTGATCTTTCCTTGCTCAAAGTCTCTCAGTGTCTTCTTCCTTTCCCCCGGAGAGAGTCTGGAGGAGAACTCAGCGGCCTGAGTCCCGGGGAACAGCCGCAGCAGCAGGAACAGCCTGAGCAAAGGACACCAGACCAGGGCTGGGCTTAGGGCTGTCAAAAGTATCGATACTAAAATGTTGTATCCGGATACGATACTCATTTTCAAAAGTATCGATACCACCGCGTGAGCCCCTTCTCTCAGATTTATTTATGTATTTATTTACGTTGTTTATGGTCATTAACAAGACGTTAGCCTTGCTAGCTGCGGCTAATGGCTAATAATAACATGCTACCATTAATCAAGTACATATCCAACTTCGCCCACATCAAGTCGGCCATTTTGATTAGGTCACCAATAGGAAGATCCCAGGCAAGAAAATCCTAATTGCTTAATGGCAATGTAGACATTAATTTAAAAATAGTTAAATGAATCCTGCAAACACTGAATTAAACTCTATCCATAATATGATGTTAAAATAGTGGATGTTAAATAGGTTTCTACAATAAGTCTAAACAAGTTTAACCAAAAAATATTTATTTCTCACAATTATGAAGGCTGGAGGGTTAGGGTTAGGGTTAGGGTTAGGGTCAGGGTTAGGGTCATTAATGTGGGCCACGAGTCACAATAACATCAGTAACAGGTCAGTTTGAAATGAAAGACACAATTCAGTTAAATTTTGGGGTCTTTGTTTTTATCCTTGTGGTATCGAGTATTTTCCTGAGTATCGGTATGGAGTTGAAAATGTTAGTATCGTGACAGCCCTACCTGTGTGCCGTCTCTCTGGAGTTGGTGAAGCAGAGGATGGGGCAGAGCTTCAGATGAAGGATGAAATGGAGGATGAGGAGGGGCTTCTTGCTCATGGTGCAGGGCACATAGTACTCCTAAAGGAAAAAAAATGCTCATTCCTCCTCTTGTCTTTCCATGAAGCCAGCTCTTACTGCAGTGCTTCTCAATTATTTTCTGTTACGCCCCCCCTAGCAAGAAGAAAACTATTCGCGCCCCCCCACTCCCCACCGTGACTATACATCTCTACATGATATTTTATCCTTATTAACATTAAAGAAAAGGAAAAAAGAAAGACATATTGTAAAACTTACAAAGACTAACTTTATAAAATCGTGTTTTAAGTCTGCGACAGAAAAGATTTTAAGTGCATCAATGCCTGAAATTAAAAATAAATTAATCCTTGTTTAAACTGTAAACGTGTTTGACCAACTAATTGCACCATTGCAAAATTAAATCAAATCAATAAATAATATTACTTAATAATATTAAACTAATAAACTACAAAAACAACAAAAATAATAACTAATTTATATTCAGTTCGGCAACATTAACTCAGGAGCACAATATATAAAACTCTTAGTTTTCGGGTGACTTTCTTTTGTCTCGTTATCTTTGTCTCTCTGCGCTTTTCTTTTCATCTGTTAAAAACTTTTCCATGTTGGGGGGGTTATGTTGAATAACGGAGGATATAAACAGAAGGCAGATGCTAACTGAAGCTAACCTGTTGTCTTTAAGTCGTAAAATGTTTAACTGAAGTAACGATGAGAGGCCACTGCCCCCTACTGGAGTGGAGGCGCAATTACACTTTATACTAGTACGGCCCGAAAAAAAGGCTGTTCCCCAGGGTCACACGCGCCCCCCCAGGTATTGCACCCCCCACTATTTGAGAAGCCCTGTCTTACTGTGAGGCCCTGGGGCAGGTGGAAGCGCTGCTGTGTGGGGGGGGGCTCTGAGCTGGGACTGTGGATGGAGCTGAAGAGGCGGGGCTGGTGCAGCCCCAGCTGCTGCAGCTTCTCGGGGTTCTGCGTGAGCGTGGCCGAAAACAGCAGCTTCTGCAGGGGCATCTGGGCTGGGGACAGACTGGAAAACAGGTTTCTGCTGTAGCCCCCCTCTGACCGGAGCCCGGGGGGCTGTGAGGGGGCAGCCACACCCCCGGGAGCCTTTCAGCTTCCTGTCACATTAGTCACTAACTAATAGGGTGGTCAAAAGTATAGATACTCCAAAAAGTATACTCCAATGTAAAAGTATACTCCAATGTTGTATCCGGATACGATACTCATTTTCTAAAGTATGGATACTAAAATGTTGTATCCGGATACGATACTCATTTTCTAAAGTATAGATACTAAAATGTTGTATCCGGATACGATACTCATTTTCTAAAGTATCGATACCACCCCCCCTTCTCTCTGATTTATCTATGTATTTATTTACGTTGTTTATGGTCATTAACAAGACGTTAGCCTTGAACTGCTAGCTGCGGCTAATGGCTAATAATAACATGCTACCATTAATCAAGTACATATCTAACTCCGCCCACATCCAAGTCACCAATAAGGAGATCCCAGGCAAGAAAATGATAATGCCTCATGGAAATATAGACATTAATTTAAAAATAGTGAAATCGATCTTTCGAACACTTAATTAAACTCTATCCATAATATTATGTTAAAATAGTGTAATGTTAAATAGGTTTGTAGAATAAGTCCAAACAAGTTTAACCAAAAAATATTTATTTATTTATTATGAAGTGTTAGGGTTAACACTAACCTGTCCAAATTCAGTTACATTTTGGAGTCTTTGTTTTTTATTCTTGTGGTATCGAAAATGGTATCGAGTATTTTCCTGAGTATCGGTATCCAGTTGAAAATTTTAGTAGCACTCACCCGGCCGCTGTAATGCTTCCAGCCGGGCTCCTCCTGAAGATGCTGGGGTTTGCCCCCCCCCCCTGAACCAAACACGGCCGTTAGCACCTGGCTGAGCCAGGACTGGTGCATGCTGTCAATCATCCTGTCAGCCTCGTCGATGATCTGGAAGATAGGACAGTAAGATGACATTTCTCACACCGACGCAGGATGTTCTTCCTGCGGCAGCTGAAGAAGTTCAACCTGCCCAAGGCAATGATGGTGCACTTCTACACAGCCATCATTGAGTCCATCCTCACCTCCTCCATCTCCATCTGGTACGCTGCTGCCACCGCTAAGGACAAGCGCAGACTGCAGCGTATCATTCGCTCAGCCGAGAAGGTGATTGGCTGTGATCTGCCATCCCTTCAGGACCTGTACGCCTCCAGGACTTTAAGGCGTGCAGGAAGGATCATGTCTGATCCTTCTCACCCTGGTCACAAACTCTTTGTAACTCTCCCCTCTGGCAGAAGGTTGAGGACCATCAGGACCAAAACCTCACGCCATAAAGACAGTTTCTATCCAGCAGCAACTGGCCTCATCAACAAGACCAGTGACCCCCAACTATTCTTCTCCCCCCCCCCTCTACCTCACTAATTTACCCAATGCTCCAGCATTTTCTGGTCTGTCGTTGCAGATCAACATTGCACATTTCAATTGTTAATTTGCACATTCAAATCTATATTTTTAAAGATTGTTAATTGTACATTCAGATTTATACTTTTAAAGATTGTATTTTTCAGTTTTATCATTCTGCCCTATATCTTTATTTTTACTTTTTATTCTTGCTTCTCATAGAAGTGTTGTGTTGTGCACTAAACACCAAAAAGGCAAATTCCTTGTAAGTCTGAAAACCTACTTGGCAATAAACCTGATTCTGATTCTGATTCTGACACTATCCAGTAGGGGGGGGGGCGGTTCACAAAACCCACGGTTCGGTTCGCTTCACGGTTTGGTGGTCACGGTTTTGGGTTGGGTTCGGTATGTGTTGATTGTTAGGAAAACCTATTATGTCTCGTATAGTCAGGTTAAAACTGAAAGAAAAAAGCAGTGTGACATGTGATCCATTACTGTGACAGTCTGAGGTTAAAGTAGGTGAGATTCTGCCAGAGAGGAAACAGAGCTAATTCCAACATGTGCTTCCCTCTAAATGCAAACTGGTCCATACAGCAGACCTAGAAACTGCTGCTGGTCTGGTTTTTATGGGCTACGCTGCTTCTTCTTCTTCTGGTTTCCTACTGGTGGTTGGCTTTGGGCGCAGTAGCGCCCCCTTCTGCTCTGGAGTGTAAACGCTTCCCTCTGAGAAAAAGGAGCAGCAGGAACCCAACCAACACACGCCAACCCAACCCAGACAGAACCCAACGGTTCACACGGGTTTAGAAACCCTCCCATCCATAGTAAACATCCCTCTGCTGCCACGCAGGTCTGGGGACTCACCAGGAACCGCAGATGTTCCAGACTCAAGGCGGAGTTCTTGTTGATGTGATCCACCAGCCGGCCCGGGGTAGCCACCACGATGTCCGCAGCACTCCTCCGCACACCCCCCCTGGAAGAAAAGCCACTGGAGGGAAACATGCCTGCTCCTACTGTACTGATGCACACAGCCTCATGTGGTCACAGCAGAAGCCAAAGCAGACTGACCACTGGTCAGTGAAGAGGTCACCGCCCTGGGATGTAGATATGTGTGTGTATATGTGCATGTATGTATATATATAATATAATTGATGATGTCCAAGTGTTGTATTATTGACATGTAATGTCCCCTGTTGTCCCCCCCTTTTATTTATTTATTTATTTATTTATTTATTTTTCTTATTTTTCTTATTTTTTTTATTTATTTATTTATTTTTTAATTATTATTTTTTAAATTATTATTATTATTGTTTTTCTTTCTTTCTTTTTTTCTATTTTTATTTATTATTATTATTATTTTTTTTCTCTTTTGAATGTGGGTGGGTGGGGTTTGGTTGTTAAAAGATAAAGCAAATTCAATTCATGTTACTGTTTTTTTATGTACCTCACTTTGTACTTTCTTGAATAAAAATATATATATATATAAAAAAAAAAAAGAAAAGGTCGCCGCCGCTCCATTAAAGCACAACAAAGCAGCAGCTATCCCTCAGCCTGTGTCCAGGAGTGAGGCCACACAGGCTTAAAACAGCTCCACATGAGGAGGTGGCCTGGGGGGGTCAACTATTTATTCCTTTTATTGGGAAAAGAAAGCCTGGAGGTAATAAGCTCTGCTTACGATGTCTGAACATACACATTTTCCAACATACAAAGTGAAACTTGATCAGATATTCGATTCCACACCAGAAGGAGATTTCCAACATTTGAGGAAGTCATAGGAAAAAATAAATAAATAAATAAATAAGCCAAGTTAGTTTAAAGTTTGCGTAGTGAAAGTTATCTGTATCTGTCTCTTCCTCTACCTCCACACCTCCGTTCACCAACAAGTGCCAATAAAAGGTTTTGGGCTGTGGAACGACTTATTCAAATTACAGTGTATTCTGATGGGAATTTTTTAACCAACATAGGAATATTTTAACATACAAAGTAGGTCCTGGAACCAATTACATTTGTATGTAGAGGATCTACTGAAAACACTAACATTCATGGAGGCAGACAAAAGGAAGATTGAGAAAGTTTCCTTATCTGTTAATCATTCATAAAAGTGTAAGCATTTTAATCTTCTTTAACCCAACAGGACCACCTTGTTGGAGGACATATTATTGTCCAGCAGCTCCTCCATCTCCAGTGGCTAACCCCACCCTTCAGGGCCAGAAAAGCCCACTCAGAAAAGCCCTCACCTGTGCTCTGAGAGTGAGGCCTGCTCTGCAGCAAAGGACTTCTGCCCCGCCAGCATCATCACCTTCAGAGCCGTTCCTTCTGCATATGCTGAGAAGACTCTGTAAACCTGGAGGAGAGGGAAGTGTGAGCGAGGCTTGGAGAGGTCAGAGTGAGGGGCAGGCGGTCAGTTTTCTGACCTGCTGAGCGAGCTCCTTGGTGGGCAACACGACCAAAGCCCGGACTTCACACACCACTCGCCCCATCAGGACCTGCCAGAGAACAGGGAGGATTTTGGACCTGCTCAGCCCCGTCCAGCCGCCTGCTCATGGCTCTGTGAGGGTCACTTGAGGCTGACCTGTATTACAGGTAGGACAAAGGAGAGCGTCTTCCCGCTGCCCGTCGGTGCAGACACACAGATGTCTCTGGGTCTGTAGCCTCCTTCACCAATCAGCAGTCCATGTCGTGCACCTTCCAAAATGGCTGGAATTACCTCTGCCTGCACTGTGAAAAGACCAGCCTCTCTATATAAGCAAAATGTGCTAACAGTTCCAGTTCAAATGCATCTACATTAGGGTTGTCAAAAGTATCGATACTTTAAAAAGTATGGATACTAAAATGTTGTATCCGGATACGATACTCATTTTCAAAAGTATGGATACTAAAATGTTGTATCCGGATACGATACTCATTTTCTAAAGTATCGATACCACCGCCCCTTCTCTCTGATTTATTTATGTATTTATTTACGTTGTTTATGATCATTAACGTGACGTTAGCCTTGAACTGCTAGCTGCGGCTAATGGCTAATAACACGCCAACAATAATCAAGTACATATCCGTCTCAGCCCACATCCAAATCGGCCATTTTGATTACGTCACCGAAAGGGAAATCCCAGGCAAGAAAATAGTTATGCCTCATGGCAATATAGACAATAATTTAAAAATTGTGAAATGAATCTTTCCAACACTTAATTAAACTCTATCCATAATATTATGTTAAAATAGTGGATGTTAAACAGGTTTGTACAATAAGTCCAAACAAGTTTAACCCCAAAATTGTTTCTTACAATTATGAAGGCTGGAGGGTCAGGGTTAGGGTCATTAATACGGGCCACCAGTCACAATAACATCAGTAACAGGTCAGTTTGAAATGAAAGACACTAACCTGTCCAAATTCTGTTAAATTTTGGGGTCTTTGTTTTTATCCTTGTGGTATCGAAAATGGTATCGAGTATCGAGTATTTTCCTGAGTATCGGTATCGAGTTGAAAATTTTAGTATCGTGACAACCCTAATCTACATAGCACATTAAAACAACCTCAGCTGACCAAAGTGCTGCACAACACATGGACCAATACGAAAAATAAGAAAAACACGCAGGAGGCTGGAAACGTTAGCCAAGATCATTAGTGATCACAAATGTGTGAGCTCAGAGCTGGAACCACGGAAAAGGCCGTCTCCAGACCACCTTCACTTCTCTGGATTTCACAGCTAATCAGTCATGAAGTTTTTAGCCTTGCTGCTTGAAATACAAACACAATTCCTCACCTGGAAAGAAGTGGTGAATGCCATTGTTCTGCAGTTTTTTAAGGAGCTGAGCACAAATCCCAGAGATGTCGGAAACAGGAACCAGGTTGTTTTTAATATCTCTCCGAATCACATGGGGCTCAATAAGCCAGTGGGGCAGGACTGCGTTCACCTGTGCACAGAGAAGAGAAACACTTACTTTACTGTTGACCGTTGGCTCTACAGTCTACAACCATATCACTGTACCTTTTGAACAGGTTTGCTCTCAAATCCTCCAAGAAAAGTGAATCCAGTACACGCAGAAGCTTTCTCTGAGCTTTCTTCCAACTCTTGACCTGCTTTATTCTCCCCTGCACCTCCTTTACCCCTAAGGGAAATGCTTCCAGTGGACTTTCCTAAAATCCCAAAACAGGCAAACAGAATTAACAGGACAGACAGAGTATCCAACTTATGGTCTTTTTCCAATGGTGGTTTTCAATCAAATGGGAGAGTGTAATAGCAGGATGGTCCAAATGACCTGTGACATTATTTGCATGCGACACGCTAAACATTTTTAAAAAATCATTCTGGGTTTTTATAAAATGGTAGGTTTCCCTGGAAGGAGTTGCTTTCATGACTTCAATACCTTGTGGATTCAAATTAAAAGTAAGCTAAGAAAGTAAGGTACTCAAACTTTGGAGCCAGAGAGAAAATTCAACATGTTTGCATATTAAAGTAGAAAAACACACCCAAATGATCCTCATTCTTCTGGAGCTCACATGCAACTCTCTTTTCCTTTTCTTGGTCTTCAACATTTCGATTATTGGAGTCTAAATCACACAAAGGCAAAGGCTTCTTCTTTTTGCAGTGCTGATGGTCTGGGTTGCTGCTTTTATCAGCCCTCCTTTTCCTTTTGGCATCATGCTGCTCTGTCTGTTCTTCATACTCCAATTCTTTTTGTTTGGTCAAACTTTGTCTCTGCCTTTGGTTTGCCTTCTGTTGCAACTTAGCAAGCAGTGCCAGAGAGCGGGACTCCTTTGAGATATTTCCTCCTTCATCTTCACCAGAATACCTGCGAGCGCCGAAACAGCATTTAATGTCCATTACAAACTAAAATAGATATAACTTTGGGGGTATAAAGGGGAAATTATTAACATTTTAGAAGCAGTTTCTATAAATCCATGTTTGCTGTACTGTAAATGAATCATCACAGATTTTACTGAAGCACATTCTGTAATGAATAACACACTGGGGGCCTTTCTGTGAGGAGTTTGCATGTTCTCCTCTTTGTGTGTTTGGCTTCTCTCCGGGTACCCCGGCTTCCCTCCATCCGAAAAGTGCATATTGGGTTAATTGGACATTCCTAATTGTCCCTCAAAGTGACTGATTGGTTGTCTATTAAATCAAATCACTGCTTTTTTGGCTTCCTGGAGAGAAAGTGAATTCCCAGATTACACAATAATGAAAATTCAGGATTTTAAAGTGACGTTATAGTCCCGTTTATTGTTATCTATCTGTAATCATTACATTTTTTTATCAAATGTTTTTTTTCCAGTTAAATGCTTTGCACCAAAATGATTTGCACAAAATAATTCCAAATGAATCCACCAAGCTAACATATCCATTGGAGACATCAGCGATATGGAACAATACACGTGGACATTTTATATATACATATACATAATCTTACCTCTTCACGACGAATAAGGACATAATATCTCCGAGGTGGACGGTCATGCAATAGGGATGGCTAAAAATCAACAGGATGCCAACGTTGGAAAATGCATTTCTTTAGAGCACATTCACGAATCAACACAGCCCACCACTTCCGCACGTGTGCAATGTTCTTCTTCTTCTTCTTTTTTTTTATGGCGGTTGGCAAGCAACTTTTAGATGTGCATTACCGCCATCTACTGGAATGGAGTGTGGATCGGGATGCTAACTTTAAAACCCCCCTTCAAAGCAAAACAAACAAACAAACAAAAAACAAAACAAACAAAAAATATGTATATATCTTTTCTATCAATGTGCAATGTTCCTTAAGGCGCATCAATATGATGTCACAACTGCCGCTGGCAAACTGGACGCGTCCACAATGGATTACGTCAAAGTAGCGCGATTTTAAACCTGTACTTTGTATTTTGAGGCGAACAAATGTTCGCTTTTACGGAATATTCCTCACAATGTTGTCTGTAAATTGTATTGATTTAAAAAAACAAACAAATATAGGCCAACTGAAAGGCGCTGGTTTGTAACCACCCCCACGAGCCTGGTCACAAATGACGTTACCCAATCACGGCTCAGGGTTCCGCGTTCAAAATTGAGAAACGTCACCGGCCGCCAGAAGGATAAAAGGTGTCTTTAGTTTTTAGTTCACTTTTACACAAAGATTTAGTCGCGTGTGGGTTCTTATCAATGGCGGAAGAATCTGCTGTCAAGGTTTGTGTCCGGGTTCGTCCGCTCGTTCCTCGGTAAGTTTGTCTCCTAAAGAATTTGAAAGGAAAACCTAACGTACGTTAACTGAAAAAGTCACCAAAGCCCTCTGCCAGAGCAGACATGGAGCCCTCACTGTCCTTCTAATCTTTTGTAATTATAATATGGCTGCAACTAACAACTATTTTAATAGTCGACTAGTCACCGACTATTGAAACGATTAGTCGACTAATCGAATAGTTATCCACTTTTTCTTAAAAATAGCATAAAGTTGCTTTAGTTAAGTGGAAAATGATAAACACAAGAAAAATGGGTACTTCAATGAAAAATGCATCTTTTATTCAACTTTGCAGCTGATACAAAACGTAAATAAGAATGCGTTTGTCAGGCACAGTCAGGCATAACGTTAAAGCTCTCTTTTAAAGTGAAAAAACGCTTAGAAAATGTATAACGCACATAAAAGACAAAACATATTAGCATTATTGTTGCTTAAATCTTACCGAGGCGAGTCAGACTCCGTTTCATTTAAGTGCCCAACATGCTTTCTTTCTAAATGCTCATGCATCACCGAGGTGCTGCCGTGATACGCAAGGTCTGTTTTGCAAACCTTGCACCTATTTTTTTTACTCGTTGTATCAAGGATAAAATGCTCCCAAACTTTGGAAGTTTTTGTACGCGTGTTGGAATCCGCCATTTCTGTAACCGCTGTTGTGCAGGTGACTCTGGGCAGATTGTAATTAAGTGTCTCACTTTGTTGGAAAAACACGTCTGGCGACAATAGTCGACCATGGAATTCACTGTGGACTTTTTTCTATTATCGATTTTTGTCGACGAATCGTTGCAGCCCTAAAATGTAACAAGTAAAAACGTTTTTCTGAAGTCCGTTTTATTTACATTCCATTTATCCGGAGTGAGGCAGAAAGCTATTCTGACCTGTAACTTTAAGCTTTACACCTTAAAAGTGTTTGTCAGATCATCTGTTAAACTTTTGTTTTCCATTTAGAAAATTTCCCCATAGTTGTTTTGTTGTTCCACCCCAAATCGTTGTTTTTATTCCAGTGAAGAGAGTGATTCATCTGAGAGCGGAAGCCCGGTCCAGCTATTTTGGAAAGCTGATAAAAAATCAATCCATCAGGTAGATGGAAATCCCAGCAAGAGCTTTAGTTTTGGTAAGTAAATCAGCCTTGGGAAGCATTTTTGTGCAGTTTTTGGTGCGGTGTTGCTCAGATGGTGTCCTCTCTCGTCCACAGACCGGGTTTTCACTGCTGAGGAATCAACCAACCAGCTCTACCAGGCTATTGCCAAACCTCTGGTGGTTTCCACCGTGGAGGGCTATAATGGTAGGGAATGGCTAAATGCTTTAGACTGTTGTGTTAGGATTTGGTTATAAATACACACTTTAGCATAGTATGCCATCACATGATTTATGTAGATTTCTAATTGTTTTATTTCTTTTATAACTATATGAAGTCTCTGGCTGTAACCACAGATTCTCTTTGCTCTATCTTTTCTTTCTCTGTTGCATTAGATCCACGTCTTTAAGTCAACACACACACACACATCATTTGGTACCACATTCCAATGTCATCAACATGAATTATGACCTGGCTTGTTAGTCTTAGAGGTAACTAACCAATAGGACTTGGTTGTGTCCAGTCCTCCTTTTGAGGAGACAAAGACCCATCACCCCCAGATCTCAGGGCTCTTTGCCCACTGAGACCCTGAGAGAGGTTTCCTCTGTGAAGAGCCCAGTGCTGAAATACTTTACCTGTGACCCAATAAATGTCAACTTTTTACTCTTGATCGACTCTGGTCTATTCTCAGGTTTCCAACTAAAGAATCGGACTAACAGTTACTAATCTTGTTGTGATGCCATGCTCCATCCCAGTTGTGTGTTTTGGGTTGTTTATTTAATTCCTCAGTTTCAGAACATTCAAGACTGTAATTCCTGGCCACATGTTACACTGCTGAACATACTGTAGAAAACTGGTCTGGATCGTTTTAGTACCTTACTATTTGTGTGCACAGGTGTGGAACATAAATGGCTGTGAATAAGATGCTTGAATGTCCTTTTAGCACACATTTTATGACATTACAGAAAAAATATTGCCCCGATGGTTTAAACTGGCAGAACTCACTCTGCAGTGAAGTGGATCATTATCCTGTGATTCGGAAAAATAATTTTACCTTGCTTGTACAGACCTTCTATACCGATGGTGTGTGTGTTTTTTATTTATTTTTATTTTTTTAAGGAACTATATTTGCCTATGGGCAGACGTCTTCAGGAAAGACCTTCACCATGATGGGGACTAAAAAAATACCTGGAGTCATGCCGCTGGCAGTAGAAGATGTTTTCCAAACCATTAAAAAGGTAAGGACTGTTTAACATGTCCATTTGCTGTATGTTGAGTGGTCACTATTCTAAACATCTGCTTCTCCCTTTACTTGAAGCTTCCAGAGAAGGAGTTCCTTCTCAGGGTTTCCTACATGGAAATCTACAATGAGACGGTGACTGATCTGCTGGTTGATAGCTGGAAGAGAAAGCCCTTGGAAGTCCGTGAAGGAATCGATGTAAGTTGTTCAATATGTTTTACTCTTTGCCAAGTGACATTTGTGTCTTTACTTCAGTGGCAGTAGAACAGCTCTTGGACAGATTGAGCGCAGATTTGCCTGAAGAAGTGTGGGATGGAGAGCTGTAAAGATCTTTTTCATTTGCATCAAATAAACCTAACGTTTGAAGTTTCTGGTGTTACAGTTGACAAACTATAATCTCTTGAAACTGCAGGGAATTTATTAAGTTGTTTGTTGCCTGGAAACAACTGAGCAGACCATGGCATGTGAGATGCTGGCTGCACTAGGATAGATCCTCCTGTTAAAGGGCTCTGCGGCTGGCATATGGATCTGTGACTGGTGGTCCACAGCTTTCTGCACTGGGGGATGGGGGCATTTATACCATCAAGTCATCAGGGGGGCCTCTGCCAGCAGCCTAAGATATATTGTATCCTAGGCTAAATTAGTCTGGTAATTGCTGACCACCGGTAGCTAGCTATGCAATTGTGGACTGATCACATCATTCAAGCAAAGTAAGGACTATAAAATCAGACAATCAGTGGTTGGAGTACTTTTGATTGTATTTTTAGTCTTGGAACTTTTTAATGGCTGGAACACTGTAAAACACACCTTGTCTTACATTATCTCATTATGTGTTGATGATTCCTGTCTGCAGAAGAACATATACGTTGCTGATCTGACTGAGGAGCTTGTCACATCTTTTCCACAAGCCCTTGCCTGGATTCGTAAAGGAGAGAGTAAGATTAGATCATTTATGACAGTATCTTTTAAGAGTATTCATAGCCAGGCTACTATAAGAATCACTTTATTAACTTTACACTGTGCCTCAACAGAGAACCGCCATTATGGGAAGACAAAAATGAACCAGCGCAGCAGCCGCTCACACACAATATTTCGAATGGTAAGCATCCGGTCCATATTTCTCTAAAAAGATAGTTTCAGGCTCTTTTCCCCTCAAAAACCTTTTGATTTTCCCCTAGATATTGGAGAGGCAAGAGAGGAGCGACCCAGCATCAGGTGAAAATGCTGATGGAGCCATTATTGTATCACATTTAGTAAGTTATTTTTTTCATTGTTACTTGCTTGTGTTTGCTCATTTTTAGCCATTTGTACATTTGGGTATTATAAGGACTTCTTCTTGAGTTGTAATTTTGTTTTGCCTTTTAGAATCTCGTGGATCTGGCAGGATCTGAGAGGGCAAGTCAAACTGGAGCTGAAGGCAAGAGATAGTTTTGAGTTTGTTCAGTTCATCTGATTTCAGATTTGTAGTTATTTTTAATGTGCTTGTGGAGTGTATTGACGGTAACCTGTCTAGTTAACAGTGATTTTCTTTTAATATCCAAGGTGCACGTTTAAAAGAAGGCTGCAATATCAATCGTAGTTTGTTTACACTGGGCCAGGTGATCAAGAAATTAACAGATGAGAGCCAGAAGTAAGTATGTTTTTGATGCGCTTTGCTAGTTCTTGGTGTCTTATATGTAGTGGACAGCATTGCCCCCTGTAACCTTTACATTTGTGCCTTTAGCAGAGGCTTTTGTCCAAAGCTACCCACAATGCAGATACGTCCCAGTGAGCATCAGCCTGAACCCCCAGCCAGACTCTGTTAGAGTAGAGACACTGTGTAGAGACGCATAGAGGGAACTACAGACAGAGTGGTTAGGGTTAGGGCAGTTTGAAGACCAGAAACATTTTAATTGTCAGAAATATATGCAACATTCAGATGGAATTATATTATTATAGCTTTATGAGAGCAGGCTTTCCTTATCCTGCCAAAAGCACTGTCACTAATCAGTGTGGCCAAAGAAAATTAAAGGTCCAGAGTGTTATGGTCTAGGTCTTTAGTAGCAGTTTGTTGGACCTAGTTGGCTGTGGGCCTGCTTCCCCATTGGCACTAGTCGGTTCGCCAGAGGTTTTTTCCTCGGATTGTCTATTTAATTTTGGCAGATGTGAAAGTTCAGACTGTAACGTGCTGTTCTTCCTATGTATGGGTAAGAAGTGTCCCTCTGTTAAAGCTAACGTTAGTGGAGTGGTGTGGCTTTGGGATTGGTGTGCAGCATTGTTTAGGTTGCTGTAAAAGTGAAGACCATGTGAGCCATCATGTCATATCAGGATGTCATGGCTGATTGTTGTGTGCTTCACAACAACAATCTGATCATGCAATTACAGACAAAATGGCCCCAAAGCAAGGTTTTCTCAATCTGACATGTCACTGTTACCCTCGGCTCTGCCTTGCTTTTGCCTGCTTCTCTAAGCGACTCACATTTTAAGAGTGGAGTTTATGCCTCAGTATAAATTATGATAAAAACAGTTAAATGTGTTAGTAGAAGCATTCATTTGGATGCAGATCGTACACACTCTTGAAATTGAAATTCTTTCAGGTACAGTTATAATCAGCCTCTGAAATCTGACCACATTAATGGCCAATTTAGAAAAATCTAATAACCTAATGTGCATGTTTTAAAAAAATAAAATAAAAATAAAAAATAAAGTTGGTGTAACCAAAGAACCCATGCATAGCATGCAAACCCGCCCCCCCGATTTGGACAGGGAACCTTATCTTACAGCCCGTATCTAGATAAATTGATTGGAACTGATGATTAATTTCTTACATTTACAAAAAGGGAAGCTGATTTTTTTTTTCTCTTCTGTGATGTTAAGGTGGCATTAGTTGGTACTGTTCTCTTTCTGTAGGGGTTTCACAAACTACAGGGATAGCAAGCTAACGCGCATCTTGCAGAACTCCTTGGGTGGGAATGCTAAAACCCTCATCATCTGCACCATCACTCCTGTCACTCTGGATGAGACCCTTAGCACTCTGCAGGTTTGTGAAAAACCTCTTCTCCCATGACATTTTTATACATAATCCCGCAATAGTAAATCTTTTATCATTACAGCCAAAAAAAGAAAAAACATCAAGTAGATCAATATCAATAATAATTCTCTCTTTTTTTATTAGTTTGCCTGCACTGCAAAGAAAATGAAGAATGACCCACATGTAACTGAGGTATCAGATGATGGAGCTTTGCTCAAAAGGTATCGCAACGAAATTGTAGATCTAAAGCGACGGCTTCATGAGGCAAGTGTCATCACTCCATCTCTTCAGCCATGTTCTCTTTGGCTCACGTATATTAGTTTCATCATGTCAGCTTTTGTGTTCATCCGTTCACAATCTTTCTTAGGTTTCTTCAGTCACACAGACAACAGCTACTGAAAAGGAGGTTCTATCCCAGCTGCTTCAAGAAAAGGATCAGCTCCAAAGAGAGCAAGAAGACAGGATCAGAAACCTGACCAAACTGCTTGTCACCAGTTCAAACCCGGTCCCTGTTCAAAAGGTAGTCATGATGGCAATAGAGCGATCAAAATAGGAAATTCTCCATCTTTCTCTTCAAATTGACAGTGACTCTGCTTTTGTTGTAAGCTGCCAAAACGCAGGGTTACCTGGGGAGGGAAGATGATGAGACTTGCCCATCCGTCTGCCTTTGATGATGGTATGTCTGGCCTCGGCTTTGTGGAATCTTTCAGGAAGAGGACAGCAAACCGCTCGTATTTAACGGAGCTTGCTGAAGGTAAAAAAATATGCAAAACTACACAATCTCTTAATTTGTAGAATTTTTTTACATGCTATATCTTCACAGATGATGAGTCCTTTGACTGTCACTGGGGAATTCCTGATGAGCCATCCGATGAAATGGATATGACTCAGAACTCTGTTACATCTCGAAACTTTGGAGACAGGTACATTTCTCATAATTTATGGTACCCGTATATTCAAAAAATTGTCCTAGACACTGTATGGCAGCTCTATCATGGAATATGAGAATGTCGGATGAAAGGATTTTTAAATTTGTTTGACCACAACTGCAAAGCAAGATGTTTCCAGTCAATTGAGCAAGATCTGAGTCTTCTTCAGGGTTCCAAATGTTCTCCCTTTCCCCACCTTTGAACTCCCATATTAGGTCAAAATACAATAATTGTCCGTAAAATCGTCTTGTTTGCGTTATCTTCATCCCAACAAGCTGGCAAGATCCATGCACCGGGTATAATCCAAGGTAATTTAACTCAGATTTGATCTCTAAGGATGTGGGATCATGCTAACTTGTAGAGTAGCTTATACTCTCTTCCACCCACCCCAGAGGCATTGGCTTTCTGAAAGGATCCACTGTTAGGGAAACGGTAAAGATTTTCCTGTGTCTTAGGCAAAACCTGACGCGTGAAGTTTGTGTCTTAGGAGCATACTTCTGCTGGATAGTGGGGACTATAACCTTTACCTTTATCTGTTTTTTTGTGAACATTCCAGTGGGGGCTTTTTTTAATGGGTTCTCTTTAAGGGACTAGAGCCAACCAGGTGAAGGCTGGTCTGCCTGAAAGTGCAGATCTCAGTTCAGTAGCAGGTGAACTAGAGCATGGGCTCACAAAACAGACCTTAGCGTGAGCAGAGAAAGGATGTGGTGTGGTATACCGCACTTGGCTACCATGTAGCCAAAGCACCATGTTGTAGTTTTGCACAGTTTCACTACATTGGTCTTGTATACAGAGTAACATAGTAGGAATTTAGATCACAAATCTTGTATTGCTCTATTGTTTGATTTTGTGACAGGTCAGTTAACAAGGATGAATTTCCATTGGCTTTACCAGGGCTTCCACAGCTTCAGCTTGCATTCACTGGGAGGTAGTCCTCTCACCCTAGGATTTGTTGCTAAAAAATTGTTGTTACCATTGACTGTGACCAGAATGCTCACCCTTAGATTTGTTTTAGGTTTTATTGCTTTTATCATTGTCAGATGAAACTACACTTTGGAGCAAGATATAACTGGTTATGTAGGTGCCTCTTTTTTCCAAAGGGCTTTGTTTCTCATAAAATACCCTATAATATCAAAGTATTTGCTCACCCATTAAAAAACTTCAATCAATGTCCCAGTCACTTCCATGGCCGCAGGTCTATAGAATCCAGCCCATAGCATGCAGCCCGTCTCTAAAAACATTTGTTAAAGAATGGCTCTCTCTCAGAAGCTCAGTTACTTTCAGTGTGTTGCTGTGTTTGGACGCCATCTGTGCAACAGGTTTAGCAGGGAAAATCCTCTGAAATATTCCACAGTCAGCCGTGAGTGGTTTTATAGGAATGTGGAAGCAGTTGGGGGAAAAACAGCACTACTTGAGTTGTAGGGAATTTGGTAGCGGATTCTTAGGCGCAGAAGTCAATTGTTGCAGACCTCCAAACCTCATGTGGCCTTCAGATTAGCTCAATAGACCTTCGTGATGAATGAGAGCCAGGCCTTCTGTCCAGTCATCTCACAAATGCGTCAAAACACCATAAACACTTTCCAAAACCTCTTCTGAGAAGGGTTGAAGCTGTTAAAAAGGTGGACCGATGTCATATTTAACCATGTGGATTAAGAATGGGACGTCACTTGGGTTCATATGCAAGTCAAGGCAGTTGAGCAACTAATTTGGGCAATAAAGTGTATTCTTGTAACGGACTCCTAACTGCTGCTTTGATGCTGGTGTCAGTTTTGAGCCACTCTTACTTTTGGATGTGGATATATTCCATACTGAGGAACAGTTGCATAGGTTACCTACTTTAAATTGCAATTGATGCCACAACCTGTTTAACAATCAAAACTTGAATATTTATAATCACAGAGTAGTGATATACTTTTTTTTTTATTCTTTCCCTCCAGAGAGTTTGGCTCTCCTGATCTAATGCGTGAGCTTTCGGCGAAAGTATCCACCTTGGAGATGCAACTAGAACTCGAAAGTCAACAGAAAGAGGAGGCCATAGGAAAATTAGCAACATTAGATGGTCAGATGAAAGTGCTGCAAGATCAGCTTCAAACTGAGGCTATGCAAAAGCAGGAAGTATTGGAGAATATGAATATAACCGAGCAGAGGGTATCAGAGCTGGAGATGCAACTACAAACAGAAGCTCAGAAAAAGCAGGAAGACTTTGAGAAGATACATCTGGAACAGAGGGTATCAGAGCTGGAGATGCATATACAAACAGAAGCTCAGCAAAAGCAGGAGGACGTTGAGAAGATACATCTGGAACAGAGGGTAGCAGAGCTGGAGATGCAACTACAAACAGAAGCTCAGCAAAAGCAGGAGGACTTTGAGAAGATACAGCTAGAACAGAAGGTAGCAGAGCTGGAGATGCAACTACAAACAGAAGCTCAACAGAAACAGGAGATGCTACTACAAACAGAAGCTCAGCAAAAGCAGGAGGACTTTGAGAAGATACAGCTAGAACAGAAGGTAGCAGAGTTGGAGATGCTACTACAAACAGCTCAGCAAAAGCAGGAGGACTTTGAGAAGATACATCTGGAACAGAGGGTAGCAGAGCTGGAGATGCAACTACAAACAGAAGCTCAGCAAAAGCAGGAAGACTTTGAGAAGATACATCTGGAACAGAGGGTAGCAGAGCTGGAGATGCAACTACAAACAGAAGCTCAGCAAAAGAATGAAGACTTTGAGAAGATACAGCTAGAACAGAAGGTAGCAGAGCTGGAGATGCAACTACAAACAGAAGCTCAGCAAAAGCAGGAGGACTTTGAGAAGATACAGCTAGAACAGAAGGTAGCAGAGTTGGAGATGCAAATACAAACGGAAGCTCAGCAAAAGAATGAAGACTTTGAGAAGATACATCTGGAACAGAGGGTAGCAGAGCTGGAGATGCAACTACAAACAGAAGCTCAGCAGAAGCAGGATTCCATGGAGAGGCTGGAGTTCGAAATAGCAGACCTGCAGAGAGCACCAGAGGAACAGATGCACATTGAAACTGAAAAGGTAAGCTACTTTTAAAACCAGTATCTTCTCCTTTAACGTAAGTACAAAAATGTGAAATGTGATATTTGCCCTTTGGAATTTTAATCTAAATGTGGTGTTTTCAAGATGCGGAAAGAGTTTGCAGAGGCCATTCAGTTGTGTGAAACTCTGGCTTCAGAGAAGGTAATGAATGAATGGGGCCTTATTCTTTCCTATGCTTTTGCGATTGTTTTCTCTGAAACATAAATCCATCAGTCATACATTGTTTTCAATACAAATACTGTCTTTTAATCAATTTCAAGTGGGGCAGAATGTGTACATTTGTGATCGCCTGCTGCTGAAGCTGTAATCTTCTGCTTTTGTAGGACACACTTGCTGCAGAGCGAGATTATCTGAAACAGGAGCTCGGGATGTTCATAGAGCACACTGAAAACTTGGAAAAAGAGAAAGCCACTCTGTCACAGGAACTGAAGGAGAGGAGGGATTTGGACGAGTTTAAATCTCTGGAAGAAGAGTTCCGAAAGGAGCATGAGGTACAAGTCTATTCAGTTTGTGTTCAGGAGGTGAACAAAACCTCAGTGAATTGAGCCTGGTCAAGTCTAAGTATAATGCATTTTATTTTCATAATAAACAAAGAGAAAAAAATACTACTCCAACTACAAAACTAAAATATGGACTAATATTATGGTCCTGTTTCCTGCCTGGCTCTGGTCAGAACCAGAAGAAACATACATTTTCCCAAACAAATTCTCTCCAAAATCTGCAGCTTATAGATTTGTGCTGTATTTTGTAAAGTAAGTGCAAATTTCACTCTGAAAGTTCAGTCTGTAATGTTGGTTCCTGGTTAAGTTTTATGAGCCACTACTATTGCATTTCTGGAGAAAACTTTTGAGGAATCTGCTTATGGCACACTGGGTTCTGCTGATCTAGCGGTTCTAAGCTGCATACTGTAAAAGTGCTTCAATCAGAGGTCACAAAAAAATTAAAAGAAATGCGTCAAAGTTTCCCTCTAAACCGTCTACATGCCTAAAGATTAGCATCTTATTCCTTCCTGGTATAGTCTCCAGATCTGTCCATTGTTGGGTAGAACACAGAAGTCTTTCTGCTCCTGCTGCTGGTCTTGGCAGGGGAAAAAAAATAATGCAGCCATCTTAATACTTGATATACAATATTGTTATGTCTGTTTATTTTTCCAGACTAGATTTAAATCTGTTGTCCAGTTCTACATTTTGATATGGGACATTTTTGTTTTATGTTGAAAATGGATGGATACATTTTTAGTGACAGCATTGGATCTTTGTACATAAAAGTTGTTTAAGTAAAAAAGAATTATTCACACTTTTATTTCCCTGATTTATTTATTCTCTTTTTGTTTGACTTTTACAGATGGAGTTGCAGAATGAAATCTCTAGCCTGAAGGAAGCTATCAGATCATCTGAACTTCACTGCCTTGATCTTCAGGTAAGCTGAAAGATAGTACATCCTCACATGTTTGGATCTGAAAAGAAGTTCTCTGTTTATTTAGTTCACATGAAAAATGGTTTGGTGTTTTTCTGCATGTATCAGGAATAGTGGGTGAGGTCAGAGCTTAATGTAATTGGGATAAGTGACCACTACGTCCTGTCTCTGTCACCTCACACACACTAACAGCTTCTAACATCAGTCTTACTAAGGTCCCAAAATACAATTCTATTTTTCAGATGAAATGTGAAGAGACTCATATTGGAAATGGCTACCCATTAAGCATGCACTTTTTTTTTCTCTCTTTTTAGAACAATCTAGAAGTGCTTTCTGCCGAGCTGACAAAGAAAACTGAGTTTGCAGCGGAACTTCAGAGCATGGTTTGTCCATTAATTCTGTTTAATCTTGGCTGTCTAAGTTAATCTTAGTAAAATTGCTACAACACAGCATTCTGTACCCCCACCAGCGTCTTGGTTGAAATTAAAGTCTCTTGTTGGTAAAGGGAAGCTTTGTTTTACCTACCACAGAATCTGTGAACCACAAGGGTAAATATCTGACATCCTAATCAGAATCAGAATTAGGTTTATTGCCAAGTAGGTTTTCACATACAAGGAATTTGCTTTGGTGAAAACACCGAGGCAGCCATTTTCGGCGCCAAGAGAAGGCAAATCCTGAAAGCATTGGAATCTAAAGCATTAAAGATTAAGCATTAACTCTTCCTCCTTACAGAGCGGTAAGGACTTGGTGGAAGAAGTGTCGGCGCTCCGCCGCTCCCTGAACGACGCAGAGGGCCTCAGCAGAGACACAAAGAAGGAGTGGGCCCTCCTCCGTAGCCAAAACATTGCCTTGGAGGAGCTGAATGTGGGTGGAATTAATCGTTTTTACAAAATCTTTTTTTAAGCATGCTAATTTGTGAATTTGGTGTTTGTTTTTTCAGATTGATTTATTTTTTCGTATTGGTCATTCTGCTGCCTTAAAGCTAAAGGGCGACCGGTTTGAATCCCAGCTGGACGCCTTTGTGTGTGCAGTCTGAACCTTCTCCAGACTTAGACTTAGACTTAGACAGTACTTTATTGATCCCTTGGGAAGACTCCCTCAGGAAATTAAGGTTACCAGCAGCTAACAGTGTCAAGTTAGAATCAAATTAAGCAAAAATATACAAATAAATAGATAAAAATACAGATTAAGTACAGTGTATGTGATCTCTCTTCCCCCTGTCCTGGTTCACCTCCTCGCCCCCAGTGAGGCGTTTACAGTCTGATGGCGTGGGGGACGAAAGAGTTCTTAAGTCTATTGGTCTATCGGCACTTGGGAAGCATCCATGTGGATGTGATGGTTCTCTCTGGTTGCTCCGGCTTGTTGGCAGTGTTGGTTTGTCTCGGGCCAAGGCATAAACTCCATAAACATTAGTGAATGTGTGCAACAACCAGAACAAAACAAAAGACACCGTTTCATGACACATTTGGAGAGAAAGTGGGGGGGGGGGGGGTGGAGAGCTTAGAGAGGAAAAACAGGCTGACGGTCTGATGCAAAGTTGACTCCTTTTGTTTCTGTGAGTAGTTATTAACTGATTAGTTTGTTTTATTATGTGGGATTTCTGCAACCCCATCAGTGATGTGAAAAAAACTCAGAGCAAACAGTAATGGAGTCATCTCCATCAGCTCTCTAGACTGTTAAACCAGTAATTACAGCTGTATCTGACCAAACTGAACCGAACATAGTCATTCATATTCATTCAGAAGTGCACAGGCAAATGGGAAACAGGACAGGCAATGCAATACAGATTTATGTTTTGTATGGGCATCATTTATGCAGAAGTAAATTAAGTTACCAAAGAAACATCGATTACGGAGAAAATTTCAAGCCGAGTATTAATTCAATAACTAGCTAAATATAGATTAGCATGTCCTAACCTGACAGATTAAAAGCGTGTATGAAAAAGTGTAGGTGTATTTCAGCATAAATGGTTTAGTATTTGTTTGCAGTATCTACCATATCTTATTTAGTCATTTATATACTTCTGTACCTATTATTATATGCCCTCCATATTATTTAAGCTTCAGGCTCGCCTGTAAGTTCTATTAATGTCTTACTATATCAATATAAAATGATATTAAGTGGACAGAGCTTTCACCAGAGCTTTCCTCATTTCATGTACCCTCTCTGAATCTTCTTGGGATATCTTGCTGAATTTTTATTTTTTCCAATTTAGTCTTTATTTTTTTCCTGGGAACAGACAGATTTGTTGGACTTTTTTCTGTGTTGGTGTGCTGTGGGAAGGACTAGCATAGCTATCCAAAGCTTGGCAAATGGCTGGAAAACCCCTCAAATCCAGATGAGGTAAACAGGCTGCTGGCTAAACAGCATAGGCTAAAGGCTTAGAGGAGGGGAGACCATAGACAGGCTTTGATCCCCAATTTAAGAAGCAGCAGAGATATGAGATGTGGGCATGGCTGCAAGAAGAGCTGGAGCAGCTCTGTCAGCTTTAGGACTATCTGGGCCCACAGGCATTATTAATGCGCATCTGCACGAGGGGGTCATTTCCTGAATTTGTACTTTATTATTCTTCTGTTGTCAGTGCTAAGGGGGTCGGCCACTGAGAAGTTAGCATTTTTATCATTCATCATCTCTGCAGGTGACCCTGACTGCCACTAATGACCAGATGAGTGCTGAGGTGAACAGCCTGAGCTTTCAACTGGAAACGGAGAAGGCGCAAAACAAAAAGATGCAGAGTGATCTTCAAAAAGAGCTTAACATCGCATTTAAGGAAAACGCAAAGCTTAACACTCTGCTCGAAGGCAAAGTTCCTCAAGGTAATTTCTCTATGTGTTTGTGTGTGTGTGCTAACAGGTTAACAGGTTATTCTGCTTGTACAATCATATTGAAGTTGAAGGCCTGTGTCTTTAGATTTGAAAGACTGTGTGGAGCTAGAGAGGACAGTGACCAGGATGAGTAAAGAGCTCAAGGCCTCTCATGAAGCCCAGGAAGGACTCAGAGCCCAGCTCAAGGAGATCGCTTCAATCCAGACTACTCCAGACTCTACCACCTTTGATCAACTGGCTGACTTAACAAAAAGAGTGAGGCCACAACATTTTGACTGGCTTGTGTTGGTCAGAAAGGGACATAACATTTCCATTAGCCAGATTAGGCCTTTGGACGTATTTAATTCTAATTCTTGTTCAGGTGAGTACTTCTTCTCTGGAAAAAGAGCTGAGCCAGCAGTGTGCTGATGAACTTCACATAGAGCTGGAACATTCTGATCAAGACCGAAGTCAGCTTGAAGATAAACATGTGGAGGTCAGTACGTGATTTGCTCATTTTAAATGCTGAGAAACTTTAGTTTAGAGACCCACACATGAATAAGTCTAAATGTGTGTAAACTGTGTCAACAGATGCCGCGTGTGCAGCATGAGGAAAAGGAAATGGCCTGTGTCCAGGAATGTTCAAAGGAGGTTGAGAGGCTGCTCAGCACTGTGGCTTCTCTCACTGCAGAGAGAGACCAGCTCAAAGCAGACCTTCAGGAAAACGTGGATATGGTGAGATGACTCTGTGACAGATGTAGAATGCTCTTCATAGTACCTCATACTCCAGAGTTAATATGAGTCTATCAAACAGATGATTGAGAATCAGGAGGAACTGAGGACGGCGCTGGAGAGGAATCGGAGTCAAATGAGGCAGATCAAACTCCTGGAATCTGCTCAGTTTAATCTGGATGGATCTCCAAATGATTTTCCTTCACAGTTGGAGGCGCTGAAAGCCAAAGTAAACCCTTTAAATAATTGGGAAAATTGGGTTCACTTTTGTTTCTGAAATACCCCATAATGATTACATTGTCTTTTCATACTTCAGATTTTAAAGTATGACACAATATTTGAATGTTTTAAGTGGCAACTTTAAATCTAAGGTTCTGCGTTTAGCACCTGGCATGTGTTCAAATATCATATTCAGCCATTTTCCTTTTACTCTCACATGTGAGTACACACATAGCCATCCATCCTTCCTGTGAGAAAGTGGGATTGTGGCACCTGCCATTACAATAGTTCAGTGACAAAAGCCAATCTTAAATACTCCTCCTTAGTGATGTTGTCGGCAGTATAAAGCAGTCACAGCTGCAAAAGACTGAACCAAAAAAGCCTGTGAATTTCTAAATAGTTTCCACGATAAGTCAGGTGTGGCATCATTGGCAATGAGACAAAGGTATGCAAATAAAAAGCCTGGTTGTATAAGTCTGCAGATTCAGACTGAAATATTGTGGGTTAAGAATGGCGAGTATCTCTAAAAACTTCCCACTTAATGGCCCCGCCTTGATTACATCTTAAAGAACAGGAAAGCTGATGAGCTTTTCCATTCCTCCAGGTACAGACTCTGACTCAAGAACTGGAGAGTGTGCGAGCAGAGAGGGACAGGCTTCTGTCGGAAAGAGGGGCAGACACTCTTCCATCCGCACAGGAGATGGAGAAGCTGCTGCTCAGAGTCTCCTCTCTCAGCGAGGAGCG